ACTCATAAAGTGCTAAGACAAAAAGCTGATAAATGTTGTTGTCTGCTGATCAAATAAAGTGAAACAATGTTTTGTTTGAGAGCACAGGGGAAAAAACCTCACTGTCTGGATCAGACTAGGCATAGGTTTATTTATATTGGCTGGTGAGATTACATACTTCTCCTTTTTTAATTTCCCTGAAAAAGCCTAACTCAAAGATAATAAGGAGCACGCTTCCTATGCCAAATCGCCATCCATTATATATGGCACCACTATCATGACAGAGCCCAACAATGGGACATAGGAGATGTCCACATCACAGCGTGAAGTGCAGATATCTGAAAGTGCTTTACCCCAGTAAAGCAGACAAGTAAAGTGGTGAGCTGAGGTTGCAGAGATCACCAGGCTAATTCCTGTGGCTTTTATAAGAGGTCAAAAACTGGTATGGATAGGAAACTGTTTCTGCAGTGAGGCAATCAACAGGTCGTTAGGGCAGAATCTGCAAGGTAGGGGGAGTAGAAGTGAAACTAAAGACAGTGTAGAAATAAAATGGAGACGAGATCCGGACAGCATTTGCAAGTAATACCTTCAATTAGTATGGCTGGAGAAAGGGAAGGGAAACAGGTAAGGTCAAAGGTGTTTTTTGTCTATTTGTTTGTTTTTAAAGGAAAAAATGAACCATTGTGTATTTAGTGAAGAAAAAGAGCAAAAGAGCAAAAACAATCAAGAATCAGTGTAAGGGTAAGATTCAGAGAGTCTAGCAGAGGGAGAGGAGTAACTGGAAGATTTCTCTATCTGTGAAGGGGGCCAAGAAGCAAGGGAGGAGGGGAAGAGAGCACATTATATTTTGTTAACTTTTTATTGAAAAAAATCCTGGGCAGTGAGAAATTAGAAAGAAGGGGTAAAAGGAGGATTTGAAGACAGCAGTGAGGATGAGAAAGATGGCTGTCAAATTCAGCTTTTTGAAGAAAAAAGAAAAGAAAAAGGCATGGTTGTGGTAGAATTGAATAGGAGAGAATGATTTTACCGTGGAGGAAGTCAGTCTCGTCATGACCCCTCTCAAGAAAATCTGCTTGCTGTGAGAGCTGGAGCCAAAGAACCAAACGTTAAGGTGAGCCTTAGCTGGAAGCTGTGAGGCAGCTCTGGTAGTCAGACAGGTCATGAGCCGACAGATTACACTCACTTGGGAGGCATGAGGCAAACTGGAAACAGACTATATGCCAGAAGTCAATATACAACAGCAAAGCTGAGTTGGGGTCATAGCTAATGACAAGAAAAAAAGAAAAAAGAGTGAAAAATGACTCTCTGGACACTGTTCTACATGAAAAGTAGTAGTCCAGATGAAATAATCTAAAGCTGAGCACATAACTATTTGAAAAAGTATATTGAGAGTGGTTCACCTGGGACGTTACAGAGTTCTGTTGCATCCCTATTCTACTCACTATTTTGCTATATTATTATTCCATTACCTAGAAATATTGATGTTCATAAAATTCAAAATATCAAAGAAATATTAAAGAAATCAAAAGAAGAAATCAGACTATTTTTCAAAAAAAAAAAAGACTGAGGTCTAAGAAAAACTAGTATTGCAAGTATTTGACTAGGCTACCTAGAGAGACAGGACTATATTTCATTTGAGATTTTTCATCTGCTTTGTCATTCCCAAATTTGCTTCAGTACCAGAGATTGAGCTAGATTTTGGGTTTAAAACTCCTTCATCTCTATATTCCTGTGTTCCCATTATGTCCTACACGGATGCACTCGTCTAACTATCTGACACACTTTAAATATGGTACACTTTTGTTGTGATGCTAAAGAGCAGTGTTAAGCAAGAAGAGATTTCATTTTCTAGTAGGTGGGATTCTTTCATCTTATTATCAAATGAGACATATTAATACAGCAGAGAGCTCTTTGCCATTAGTGTGGGTCATACTTATTCAGAAGACACAATACTAAATTTCTCAGCTGTGGTGGACATTAAAGAAAAGAGGTACTAAAAGCTTTGTCCATCAGCCATAAGGACCTTGTGTCTTGGAGCCAAGTTTGGACATCTTATTTCCATATTTAGTGCAAACGTATGTCTGTGTAGGTCACTGCCAATAATTAACAACTTGAAAGATTGAGAAGACACTAATTGTATGGCAATAAACTTTGATTATGAGTGAGTAAATTCAGATATAAAACTATAAACTGTAATATAAAGATGATGTTGCTGAAGGGCTGCTAATATACAACCTTAATGCCGGCAAAAAATGTTTTCTTTTAATAGTTTTCTTCACTTAACAGTTACTCATTTCAAAACATCTTCTTCTGACTACATATACTTTAGTCTGGTGCAGTGCAGAGGATAGTTATTCGTTTGACACATTTATTCTTTTAACGGTTATTCATTTGAGAGAGTTTTACTGTGTGAATATATGTTTTAGTTTTGTGCAAAAGATATTCATCCTTTTGACAGGTTTATTCTTTTAATGTTTATTCATCTAAATAGGGCTTCAGTCTGTAAGTCTGTTAACAAGAAAACTCTAGAAGGAGGACACTGCTGGTTAAATAAGTCCATCATGTTCAATGCTTCAAAGGAAGGTGTTCAGCACTCTCTGTAACATTGCATCTACCTAAACAGTTCATTCATCTTGATAACTTTAAAAAAAAAAATCTTAGAAAGGCAAGAGAAAATGGATACTAAAGGCACTTTAAACATGCTCCATTAGAGATGACGTGATAGTTTTTGTGTGTTAATTAACTAAACAGTTAATTATTGATCTACATGTTTTTACTGCAGAATGTTCATCCTAGTTTTTCACATATTTTATATCTTTCCTGCAGAGGGCAATTCCTATGTTCAGTATTGTATAATTCTGTTTCTGTAAGGGAAAATGATCTCATTTAAATTTCACTACATAAAGATTAGATTTTAGTTTAAACTCATTCATGGACATTTTCCAGTCAGTTAAATGAGATAAATCCTTCCAGAAAGTGGCTCATCACATTTTAAGACAGTTATCTTAGGATGGGATGAATCACCCCCTCAGACTGGATACCCAGCTTTCTAATGACTAAAGTTAAGTTAGATGAATCCAGTTCTTACTCTACCTTCTTCTCAATTTGTAGAACCTGTAATTCCACAAGTTGCTAGATTCAAAATACATTTTAAATTAAGAATTAGAAAGGATAAAATTCTTCCGTTTATTCATGAATGTTAGTTGATTCTATGGTTATAAATAAAACTGTGATAATATAAGTAAATACTATGAAATATAGGGTCTGAGTGCCAAATATTAGAAATTAAAGGAATTACTTGAATTCCTGTACAAATACTTGGAAAATTTTCAATGTTTTGGGGAAGAAGAAAACAAAGTAAGACAATTAAAAAAGTGGTAAGCAACCAAAATTAATTAAAACTATTTCTTAATGAGTTTTTCTCTTTGACTCTATCCTTGCACTGGAACTGCAAGGTAGTGATATGATCTTCTGGTAAATCAATACCTTTTAACAGAGAGTATTTATGAAAGATACCTTTTAGCATTGTGTAGGGAGGATGTGTGAAAGAAAGAAAGAGGAAGGAAAAGATAAAAAATGAAAGGCCAGATGAACACAACTTTATTGGAGAGAGATGTTTCACACATTTGAAATTTCCCATATCAGTCTCATAAGAAACACACATACCAGGACAAAAGTTTGATATTAGAGATTTATGTGCAACCATTTTCTCACTCTCCTCTCATCTCCAACAGTGTAAATCAGAGATGCTTCCTAATCTTTGTGGTATGGCATCAGTTGCTAGAATAAAGCAGAATCGAGCTTTTTTTCTTTAAGGGGAGTTCAGAGTTCAAAAAGACACTTTATAGATTAATTCTGAAGTCTTAGGTGACCCTCTAGTATCTAATAACAACTGTACTTTCATTGAATTGGAGACCTTAGTGATCAACAGGGGAAATAGAGAGGATTGTGTACGTTTATTTAAATGTATTTTTCTTTGTATAGTTCAAAGGCACAATGCTACTCAATAAATAAGCTAAATAGCATGCAATAAGGTCTTAACAGTTAATGCCTCACAGTACATTTCTACCAATGATCTATGTACTGCTGCAAGGAAGAAAAGATAAAGTTTGTATCTTAGGACATATTTAATCAAATAAACAATGCGCAAGCATTATCTGCTCACAGTAAATAAACTCAAGACACATTAGTCATGTTAGGAGCTTCATCAGATGTATTAGGTAAGAGAAAAGAAATTACACAATTCCAGTGAAACAACTCAGATTTCTAAAGTTTTATAGTGTATGGTAGCTCAATGTAAACTGATGATGATACTTATAAATTGTTTGAAGAACTTTGTTAGATGCTCACATGTGCTATGTTAGCTGTATAGGTGTGTATATTATTACAAAACAGTTTAAGAAAATATAATGGTCTCAATTTTTGAAGAATTGTGAATAGTTCTGCTTCCAGTATTTTGTATGAAATGGTAAGGGTTTTTTAAGGATGGTTACTTCAAAATTTTTGAAAATTGGACCCTGGCAAGACATACTAGTGTAGATTAAAGAAACTAAAACATTCTCAATCATTAATGACCTGTGAAATAGTAGAGAAATATCATTTATGTAGTACAATTTGACCTGAACTCTGAAATAGCTCAGGTTCCTTAGTAATTTTTGGAATTTGATTTTTTTTGAATTGTCTCTTGAAAAGATACAAATACTAACATATACTATTTCATCTCTCGGATGGCCTGTACACTGAAAAGGTTACTAATCTGCAGAAGAAATAGTGTTTAAGTAACTTTTTGTTCCCATATTATTTTTCATCTCAGCTTGTGCTTTGTTTGACTTTACCAGCTTGATTGTGGTATTCTCTGTAATGAAACCAGGAAGCTTCAGCAAATACTCTTTACAGCAGAGTACTATACTTGTTATTTCTGTTCTGATTTAACAGCCTTCTGTCTTCTGCAGCAGCTTATTACTATGGGGAAAACTTCAATAACTTGGACATTCTGATTTTTGTTCCCTTTTTGTTCACAGTTCCAAAGACACCTCCAGCTAATGTAAGTGGCAGAAGTGGAAGGCGACATGAATTAGTAATAGCATGGGAGGTAAGGGACATTTTGATTAAAGTGCTTATTTTATGTTTACTTCTTTGAGGGTAAAGTAAGGGCAAATATTGGCAAGGCATGAACACAAAATAATATTCTAAGGAGTGCACATTTCCATCTGTCTGAGTAGAGAAGATTATGGTGAATATACTCCAGCCAGCAGCAGCTCCACTTATGCTAATTTATCACTTTTTCCTTCTCCATTGACTGCTCAGGTTGATTTGACTTTCTTGGCTCTTAAGTAAATGCTACATCAGATGAAATAACTAAAGGAAAAGGGGGAAATCCTTGTAACATTTTTTTTTAATTGGGATAGAATAAATATTTTGTATTGTTTCACACAAATACAAAACTGAAGACCTGCAATACACCTTTATTTAGAGAAGATATTTGTGCTGCAAGATGTAACACAGATATATGACCATGCCAGTGGGCAACTGGCCAGGGGGAGAGGGGGAAAGAGCTGCTTTCTCTGCTTCATATCTTGATCATAAATAACATAGTAGAGCAGAGAGACTTTTCTTGAGGGGAGTTTTCAAAACTTTTATATCAGAAAGTTTCATATTCAATAAATTTTCCCCCCGAAAAATTTCCATCAAATAAAGATTTGAGGAATTTCATAAAAACAAAAACAGAAACAAAACAGCTCAGCTATCTTGAGGAGTAATTTGTTTGGTAACAGATGCAAAATTCTAGCTACCTACTGAAAGTGGCATATTTTGGAACATCTGAAGAGGATGCTGTATGTTGGCACATCTGTCTTCCTCAGCACCAGCTACCTGTGACAGCTGAGGTAAATTGGCATTGACTTCAGTTTGCTTAAAATTGTCAGGCTATAAGGAGCATCTTTTGCAGCATCTCTTCAAACAGGAGAGAATTTATTGAATCTCAAACAAAAACAACAGACGATTAGAACTGTGTCTGATTTAGATTAGTCTAATTTTAGTCCCTAATAAAATATATTAATAGGATATTAAGTGTGCTTATAGTGTTCCCCAAGTGTCTGGACTGGGACACTACTGAGGTATGTAATATCCTTCTCCCTGCCAATGGTCCAAGTCTTCTTCCAAAAGAAACCAGAGATGCAAAGGAACAGTACACATTCAAGGTGACCCATCCTGCAGTGTAGATACAGCAAACAGTTAAGAAATAATAATTGCTGCAATATAACTCTTAGTATACCTTGAATTTCTTTCCATGGACTACAATTCGGCTTCTTCATCTTAAGCTAAAGAATACAAACTGCCAATAATGCACAAGATGTCACTCATTGCCCTTGTTTCTGATTAACTTATTGTTTCCATCAACACCTAGTTCTTCCTGACATTATTAATTTCAGCATACTGTGTTGTTTCACATCTCTTAAATTACATAAAGTCATTAATCAAATTAAGAAAACAAATCCATCAAGTTATTTCATTTATTTCAATCATAAATGAAATGGATATATTTATAGTTTCAATTGTTTGAAAGTTTTCTACCATTTCTAATTATAGTCACTATCTTTCTTCCAGAAATTGGAGATAAATGTAAAAGACAAAGCAAAGCACACAAAAATTATATAATTAGAAATAAATGTTCAATTTTCTGCTAAAGAACTAATCTTGGCATGCTGGATAATGCACTGTGAGTGTCATCAGCAACTTACTACAGACTGCTGGGCTAGCTACACTGCTGTGCTCTCTGGTAAAGTCACTGGATTTCCGTAAGGCACAATCACAATATAAGTTAGCCTAGCTCCAGCACAAGTGAATCTCTGCTTTTGCAGGATCCAAAAGTCTAAATTGGACTTACATAGAGAATAGGAATTCAACAAAGTACTTAGAAGACTGAAGAGATACTGAGATGGTATATGGGTATCTGGGAGTAATTCAGAAAAAGACTAATTTGTGCAGGCAGAATTATACTCAGCCAGTTCAAACAAAACTGTAATCACCTAATGTTGATTCACAGATCATGCATTTCAGGTTTGCAGTGAAATCCCAAGGTTCTTCCATTTCTCATTTATTTATTTTCTTTTTGATGGTGACTGTCTACTGCAAAATCCAAAAGCACTGTAAAGCGTAGCAAGGCACCTCCATTCCAACTCAAATCACTAGGCTACAAAGCCTGTCTCTTTTCTGCCTCTTCTGCCTTTGGAGCCATGAATTTTTCTTTCTTGAATCCACAGCGCGCAGCTTCAGAAGGCCAGGTAAAAAACAGTCTCACTTGGTGTAGGGAGATGCCTGGTAATGAGATACTTACAGTGTGGAGGGGGAGATGACTCTGTCTCCTGTGCCTCTGCTCTGACTCACGTGCTCATTAGCTGCAGATCTAAGATAGACCCTTCAAGGTGTGGTGTTTGGACACCTTTGCTGTGGCATTTCCCTTGGGCTTTATATGCTGACAGCTGTTAAACTTAACCTAATACCTAACCTAAGCCATTGAACTTTTAAGAAATATAGGCAGTAAATTAGCACGAATAATTACATTCCTTGATCTGGACATATAAGATTTAGAAATTGCAGTGCACCTAAGTGCCTTTGCTGTCTGCCTGCTTACAACATGTATGTCCCAATTCAAGTGGCTAATTTCAAAGCTCTTCTGGTATAAGCAAGGCAAACGAGATTTTTTTTCTCCACAGGACTTTCAGTTTGAGAGTTAGAATAGCTAGTTTTATTACATTATATCCCTAAGTCTCAAGCAGAACCCTTGACATAAATCATTAGCACTTGACAGCCCATTTGGATACAGAAATTAGGTGGAGGGGCACCTAAATCCCAAAAGGATACCATTGTAGTCAGTCTCACTCACATCATATATTTATGATTGAGGCCTTAATAAGATGTTGTTGATTTTTAACAAGGCAATTGAAAGTAGCTATTCAACTAATAGGCCACTGGTTAAAGCATTGATCCAAATATGGGAAGCACAGAAGCAATATCTCTCTGAGTCCAAGAGCTTATTCACTCCTGAGGCAGCAATCTAACTATGAGAACTACCTGAAAAAATGCCCTTCCTAGGTTCCTCTTCAGAAACAATTGTCCCTTGGTGTTACCAAGCATAATAAATAAAATCCTATAAGGCAACTGGAAGGGATCACCCAGACACAAGCAGCCAGCTTATATTCAGTTACTAAGCAATTGCTTTCTAAATGAGTAAGACCACATCTGATCATTATCTGAACTTGCTATTTTAGCCAGTATCAGAAGAGTTTCAGAATGGAGAAGGATTTGGATATATTGTAGCTTTCAGACCCAATGGAACACGAGGTTGGAAGGAAAAAATGGTGACATCTTCAGATGCCTCAAAGTTCATCTACAGAGATGAAAGTGTGCCACCTCTGACTCCTTTTGAGGTGAAAGTTGGCGTTTACAATAACAAAGGAGATGGTCCATTCAGCCCTATTGTGGTCATCTGCTCAGCCGAAGGAGGTTAGTTCAACATATAGTAAAAATCACTTGCATGTTGTATCTATCCATAGCTATTTTTACATAATATGTCCTATTATACCATGTAACTTCAGTCATAGATTTCAAATTCTTTGCAGAAGTTGTACCATTAATGCTATTGTGTAAAGAAGAAGGTGAACTAACTTGCCAAAGCTTGGCCAGCAAGCGTCAAAAATTTAGGAGGAGAAATCAAGCCACGTCAGTTCTAATAAAAAAAAACTCTTCTAAAGGAGCTTCATGCCTAATATGAAGTCTGTAGCCTTAACTGTAAGCTGGGCTGGTCAAAAAATGAGCAAAGGAAGGCTGATGTTTTGTATTGTGTGTGAAGTTCATGCTGCTTTTTTTTTCATGAGTTAAACCCACAACAACCCAAAGATTACATAACTCACTTATAAATGTTTATTTTCTGGTTAATGGATACCAAAAGTTCACAGAATGCAATTTTGTTCTTATTTTTATTTATGTTTTTCCAGCATTTTCTTTTTTATTTTATTAGCATAGAAAGTTATGAATTTACATTAGTGGCCAAATATTTAATATGAATTATACGAGTAGTTCAGAAACACAAATGGAAAATATTTCTGGAAAATTGCTACCAACTCAACTTTATATAACTCCCAACTGCATTTTCCGAGAAAAGGCTAATATTTACTAGAAAAATAAGTTGTTCTCTATTGACGGGAGCCAGTGTATGGAAATTTCCATACACACAAAAAGGGAGGCAAATATTATCCCCAGAAATATTTTGAGCAGCTATATTGTTGGAAGCCAAGTACTTCACTGTATGGAGGAATTTTATATTATCACTACAAAAGTATAGTATGAAAATGACAGTATTTCCTGTGAAGCTGTAAAACATTAAATGTTTTTCTGTATTAGCAATGTGTAGTTTTGGAGACTCGGTGTAGCATGGATAACCTACTCCTTCCCAATAATTTTAGGTGAAATGCTGTTTCTGCTAAAAGCAGTTCCAGTAATCTGTTTGTGCTCCACTATTTAGATCAGTATTATCAAGTATTCATATCATTATAAAAATAATTATATTTTAAAATGTAAAAAATGCCCAGTACAACTTGGACATTTTTATCATTTCCATTCCACTTCCCTGTTCCTTAATAGACAATTCTGTGATACTGATGATGATGTTTTTATGATTTAATGGTTTTATTCTTTGACCAGGAAGTTTAATAAAAAAGAGTCGTTCAAGAGAAAGGAGGCAAAAAACCTTAATGGATAATAAATTTATTTCTTGTTTGTAATTTCTTTTTTCTTGGAATTGCAAAAGCTGTCTTAGCAGAAGCTGAACACTGAATTCTAATAAGTAGTCTTCTGATGGTTTTTTGGGTAAAACTGGAAGTGGAATAATCAGTAATATATGAATCCTTTTTTCTAGCTTTTCTTTTAAAATATGAACTTTGCAAATAATCTAAATAGAATTATTAAAATGAACTTTCTTCCCAAGGTTATAGAGGATACCTCTAGAAACCAACTTTTCTGATTAAAATTCAGTTATTTGAGAGTACCTACCCATTATAGCTTTGCTAATCCAGTTTCTGCATATGTCTGTACATTAGCCTTTCCTTCGGTAAGTGGAATTCTATGGGGTTAAACGCTTTCTTAAACTTACACATGAGGAAAAAAGAATGATAAGCTGTGACAATACACTGTAAAATTAATTTATAAAAAGCTTTTCTCAAGAGTAACTCAAGGTGCTATACTCAAAATTTAAGGGAACAATGAAATAGTTTATTACAGCTAAATTTTGGGCAGTGCAGAGACTGAGGACAAAGATGTTTCAGCTTTCTAAGGAAAAAAAAAGAAGAACTGGTTTTGAAAGAGGCATGGACTTGCACACTTTAAGAGCAAAACAACTAAAGGCACATTTTCTCAAGGATTTCTATTGAAAAGGTGATATTAAATAAAGATTGATAGTACAATATATTATGATCCTAAGGCTCTAGGATCTAAGGGAATTTATCTAAGGAAGTTTATTGCCTAAATCCTGTTGCCTCTGCTCAGCACACAGGAAAAATCAAGAGTTTGCATGGGACAGATCCTGGATAAGGAAGGAATTTCACATCTATTAGGAATGAAAGCATGTGTCTGTCTTTTCTAGTTGTCTGTGACTGCATGTTTTGTGCTCTCTGATCAGACACTGAGAGTCCATTTGTGGTGGCTCTGAGTCGTGCCTGGCCAAGCAGCCTCGCTCATGGTATTGAGTAAGATGTTCCCTTCTGACTGATATATGATTACATAACAGTGGCTCTGACTGAGGCCAAAGGTTTAAAAAAACACCAGAATCTCAGCAAACACAAGTAAAAACCTCTAAGTCAGATACTCAGAAGATAAGACATTGATGGTTACTGAGGGATCAATGAAGGTGATGAACCAAAGTAGAAGAGGGCAAAAATCTGGCTGGTTATAGATGTAGAGCATTTATTCTCCTTCACTGACTTTTTGAGTTTGTGTGAAATATCACCTGGGTAGAGCTTGTGGAAGACACTATGCAAGAGTGAAAGAGGAAACGCAATGTGAAGAGGGAGTAGAAAATAGAGTGGAGAAGCAGAGGGAAAAAGATAATATAGGTCTTCTGAAAGAGGTCCTACAAGACTAGTGGGGTAACCAGGGGAGACAAAAAAGCAGATGTAACCCTGTGGAAAAAACTGTTTAATAAAATAAAAAAGTTTGAGGAACTGAGAAACGATGGGGAAGAAAGTAAGCAAAAGATCTTAGTGATGAAAGAGATGATAAGAGAACCAGGATCAGTTCCGAAGGGGGAAGCAGGATGCAAAGAAGATGCAAAAAAGAACCAAAGATGTACAATTATCCGCAAAAAGAAGATAGAACAGAAGGTCACAGTAGACATATTCCAGCAACAAGGAAAGATAAGCCTAGAAACAGGTGAAAAAATAAAAGGAAAAAGAATCAAGCTTCTGAGAGAAAGTGGTTTCAAGATGAGCTAGGTCTTTTATAAGGGCATTTTTAACAGGACTGCCACAGTGGGAGACACAGAACATGTTGTTAGGTACCTAACTTCTGCTTTAGGCACATGAAGAAATTACCTTCACAGAAATGACAGTTTTATAATTTTGATAAATAGTGAATACTATGAAAAACTTGTAGATGTGAAAAAGAGAGCCCTGAGCAATACAAGGTAAAGCCTGAGGACTCTGAGTTTTCCTGCATGTTTAAAACCTCCTAAGGGACCCCAGATGTGCTTCTATAATACATACAAGATGTAATGATATTGCGCAGACTTTTTGCTCTTGTTTTGTATGGATTTGAACTAACTCATTCAACCCATGGAGAACCAAAGATCTCAGTTACCTGAAGGGAGAAGGGCCACATAGCAACCTTCAGTGTTTTGTTTCTTCATAATTTTAAGGAGTTATGCATTAGGCTAGCTAGTGAGTCATGTGATATTAAACGAGACAGTGTAGGCTGAAATGTTTTTCTGGTTAGGTCCAGCTCCCCTAGCTTTTCATCTTGAGCTCTTATTTTCATCTTGAGCTCTTATTTAAATAAATAAATATTCCTTTTCCTTCAGAAGAAAAAATATGCAATTATACACTTCTAAATATAGCCGCCATGTATCAAATTTAAGTCTTACATTCATAAAGCGAAATTCTGTAGATCATTTCATAGCTAAAGCTGAGCTGCTTGGTATTTAGGTGAACCTGAAGATTAATAAATTGGTATATTTGTTGTAAGCTACAGTGGATTATGTCCTGCTTTTATCAGCTGATCCATCTGAATTAGATCTGAAAGTTCAGCTGCAGCTGTCTTCATTGAACTTTTAAAGAATGAAATCATAACCCTGATATGAAAGAGTTTATTAAGCTTTCCTTTGATTAATGCCACTAACCCCAATGGGCAGTCGGCTGTGTAATCAATATTATAGGCACATCCCCTTCTCATGTTATGTGGATAATTCCAGCTGCCATGTCACTTTTTACAAAGGTATCATTTATATTCATGAAGATGGCAACACTGCTCAGCACTTTTAATCGAACAAAGCCTGAATTCTGCCAGCTGCATGTCCAATTTCCAATCACTCACCAAGGTGAGGGAGCTGTTTGTAGGTTGTTAAAACCTGTATGGGAATACAGCAGCTCCTTTTCCCATGTGGCACTCTGTTGTGCAATATTGCCAGGTTATTTCATGGAGAAGGGCGAGCCACAGGAAGGAGTACACAGAGAGAGAGAGCCCAAGAGAGAGAGGCGTCACTGGAATAGACTTGAGAAGCACTATCTGGCTAATAATGGCATATTTACATGCACCTTCAGGCAGGCCACTTGCTCAAAGATCACAGCTCAGGACATGGAGCACTTTCCCCAAGTATTATACTAGAAAAATGCCACTTCAGTGGGCTGCGCTACTGGAGGTTAGCTAACCACTTGGTCTCTTGGCCAAGTCTGTGGCTCTCTTTTATTTAGCCATGTAGACATGGCCCAAGAACCTAGATCCACTCCTAAAAGGAGAACTTCATTTATACATCTCCATCTTTGATAGAAATAGGAGTTCTCACATTTTTATGAGACTATCTGCTTTTTCTCTGTTTTATAGTCCTCTGCAAAGACGTTGATGAGACAGAAGGTGAAAACAGAAGGGGCTTAAGTAAAGCCCAAGGGCCATCCAGGAAATGGTCAGTCAACTCATTTTTGGTGTTTAGGAAAGCAGTCTTTATAATCCTAGTATTAGGGTGTAAAACCTTTTCTGAAGACATCTTTTTGCCTCTGTAATCAAGATTCTGGAGGCTGTCTTATACTATAGGCAGTCATGATACTGCAAATCTAGTGGGGTCCCCAAATCAGGGCTATGTCAGCCAGTCCATGTCCGAGGAGCAGAGCTGAGCATAGTCTCCCTTGGTTTTTCTTAGGGATGAAAAGAGTTTACTGAGGTTTCTGAATCAGTTTTCCAGATTTGGAAGATAGTCCCTGTGGCTATTTCCAGCAAGGGAGTAAATGATATTGCCTTCTTTACCTATAGGATGTTGATAATTAATTACACAAGAGAGAATTCTCCTTATGATTTCCTTTCTGTAAGAATCCCTTTGTGGATTTTTCCATAGAAAGGAATTATTTCGGTCATTGCTCCTTGCTAAAAATATTAGCTATGCTAAAGTATTGACTATGTGGAACTGCCTGGAGTAATAAGGCAACTATCTAATAAGGCTGAGGTTCGTAGGTTCAGGTAAGAGCTCAGATTTTGAATCAGGGAAGTGTATAAAAAATCCTCTCTTGAGTCAAAATTGGAAGCAACTGGATCTTAAGTGATTGGACAAGGGATGCTAACTAAGGCTCCTTTCCATAGGAGAGTTAAAATATCATTCTCTGAACATAAAGAGGTGTTGGGCTTGCTTTTATGACATGGATATCTTTAAGGATGATTATGTGAGAAAACAGGCAAGTTTGCAGCAGTAAATGCAGCATTAGGATTGTAATGAAAGCTATTAACTAACTTTACTTTCTCTTATCTGCCAGTATCAAAATTCAGGATTCCCTCTCTGAATGCCAGATCAATGCAATTAGTGTAATTCCTTGCTTTGTTATGTTGTAGCCATCCCTGAGTGTTGCAGATTGAACATATTTCCTTCAGGTATGATTTTGGCATATGAAAAATGTTTTGTGGATGTTGCACAGAGCCTTCTGAAAACTTACTACGCTGTATCTTTAAGTCTATCAGGCAGTATTAAAGGGATCATTAAAGACTTTTTTCCATCAGCATGACCTCATGAAGATACCAATAGATTTAACATAATGCTAAGATATTAATAAAGGAATATGATTATAACACCAGCAACCATTATGGAAAAACCTAATGAACCTGTCAAATTTATCATCAGTTCTAGACACACAGAATAAAGCATGACATTGTAGTGAGCCATGGACCAGAAATTATATGGTCCTCATCCTATCTGAATCAATAAAAAATGCCATTTCATCCCCATAAACTTTCAGAGTCATAATATACCTTATTCCTAAAAATATCATTTCTGTTCTTTTACTGAATACTTACCGTCTTAGTGTCTAATATTAGTGAAATTGCAGTGAATAATTGCTGGATATGTAAGAACTGCATTTGTTTCACATTAAAAAAAAAAAAACTTAGTTCTATTCCATCTGTTGAAAACAACTTATTTTTAAAAATATCAGAAAATACTCTTTGTTTCTGTTCTGAGCAATATATAAATGACCTCTAGTGAATGCTATGAAGAGAAAATGATTTCTACGTTTATAGAAAATGTAAAGGCTGCCAACCAACATTTTGTGTACATCACAAATTATTTATCCCACTGCAATCTTTTCTGACAACAAGGTAATTGCTTCAATAATACAAAAACTAGAAAATAGCTTTTGCTGCACAAATCTTAGTAGCACATAAAATGGAAAGCAGGGTATACTTATTGAACAGAAAAGCATATTATGAGGAATATATTTCTTTGTAGCACAATTCTTTCATTATTGAATTCAGAAGATTCAGTTATTTCTAGAGAATACTTTTTTCTTATTTGTTACCTGAAAAGATCCATATAAATTTTATACTTAGTATTACACATCATGGATGACTACCATTTTGCATCACATCAGAAATGCTTCTTTTCTTTAGAAGTAAATAAAAAAGAAGATCAAAAAGAGCAACAAACATTGAAAATTCAACATCAAAAAGGACAAAAAAATCTCTACAAGCCATGTCAGGAAAAAGTACAGGGCCTTGTGCCAGAACAGTCCGTGCAATATGATCAGAGAGAGGTGGGTAGCTAATAAGTCAAGACTGTTACATAAGGAAACTCCTTTTCTGTAATCCTATTAAAAGAGCCCCCCAAAAAACATTTTTGAAAAGCTCTTTGATGTGCCTCCCTATATGATAAGAGCCAGGACCTTTATCTGCCCTTCAAGAGCAGATCAACACATTAGAAATGTAATGAGGAGCACTAGGCCAAGGAAGAAACTGCAGGCTCTGCTACTGCAGTGGTATGTGAATTCACTTATTTGCTGAGCAAATAAACAAAGCCAGGATGGTAGTGAAATGCTGCTGCTGCGTGCTTTGTCATCGGTGTCCAAGCCTCATCTCTATGTCATAGATTCCTTGAACAAATTTCCAGTAATATTTAGGTAATAAAGCAGAAGATATTTCCTTAATTCATGTCTCAATGTGATGTCTGAAAATTTTTGGATGCTCTTCCTTCCCAATGCACTAAATGACGATACAGATTTGGGGTATGTAATGGGTATGCAACCTGTCCTAGCAGCATTGTGTGTGTACTTACCCAGACAACTTCCCAAACCCTGGAAAGAGTTGGACTTCCTATGAAGTATTTGCTGATATCAAAGTGAAAATGTGCCTGTGGCAGCCATGGGGCAGGCGTGGTACATAAAGCATCCTGCTTCCCAGTCCTCAGGTGTGGACCTGGGCTGCATCCCAGGTACATGGAGGGAAGCAGCCCAGGCCTGAGGGCAGGGGGGGAGCCCTGGCGCCTGCCTGCCTTTGGGTCCTCTACTTCAGAAAATCAGGAGACCAGGACTGCAAAATGCATTAGAAAGAGCATCATAATGGAAACATAAATGTAGGGCTGCTGCTAACAACACAGCTACAGGTACATGAGGAAAAACTTCTTTACTGTGAGAGTGACTGAGCACTGGAACAGGCTGCACAAAGAGGTTGTGGAGTCTCCTTCGCTGGAGATATTCAAAACCCGTCTGGATGTGATCCTGGGCAATACGCTCTAGAGGACCCTGCTTGAACAGGGAGGTTGGCCTAGATGATCTCCAGAGGTCCCTTCCAACCTCAATCATTCTGTGATTCTGTGATTCTGGGATACATATTATAGGTGTTAATCTCTTCTCTTGAACATTATGCATCCCAGGCCTAGAAAGGTAAATGCTTCAACAGCAGAGAGAAGATTGCATGTCCCAAATACTGGTACCTATTGCTTCAAGGTTTGTTTATGGACAGCATAGCAACATAGTCCTCAAAAGTTCTTTTACTTAACATTTCACTACAACTCTGGGTATCACTTCTTATTTGGTAAAATTTTATTTGTTATAAAGTTGACTGAGCATCCTAGCTATGTATTGTTCATTTTGAGCTGACAAAATGGCACTAAAAAGCCAGGAAGAGAATGAATGCTCCATTTACTTCTGAAGTTAAGCTGATTCAGGGGCATGAAAGCTGGAGAAATGGAGTGAAGGGGGGGTCATTTACAAATATTAAAGATTTTCCAAAACAAATCAGGAGGGACATAGACAGGGGATTCTGTCATAGTTTGCTAGGCCTGTCATCAGTGATAAGGAATTGATGTGGCATGACAGAAACAAAGAAATATAATAATAATAATCTTTTCATCTTGTTCAGTTTTTCGTGTTCCCTATAAGTGTCATACCTTCTTGTGAGTTTAAGGTAGAATAAAGGAAATAAATGGCAGTTTCAGATGGAGTGCTTTTGATAAATGCAAGTTGTTACAGTAGAGGTTTATTGTTTCAATTTTTCTTAATACAGAACCCAGCGCTGCTCCCATCGATGTCAAAGCCACGAGTTTATCTGTATCAGAGATTCTTGTTGCGTGGAAACATATTAAAGAAAGTCTAGGAAGACCACAGGGATTTGAGGTATGAACACAGAATATTGTAATGAGAAATGTTGTTACTTTTGCTAACGTTGCATTCTGCTAACATGCGGCGTAGTGAAGCTTGAATAGAAATTACGCTCATTTGAGCGTACACACGACTAGCTGTAGAGCGATGGTCACAGCTGTAGCACTGACACATCTTCTTCTACTTATTTGTGCTTTAAAATCATTCAGTGCTAGTTCTCATAATGTCTCTTTGACACTTCGAAAAGAGCTGAAAGAACTGCAAGTGACCCAGCATGCCTCTTTCGCAGGCTGGGGAAGATTAGGTATCGACTGCTTCCATCTCTAAGTGACCAGTTCAAACTTGTTATTTACTGAGAGCTATCAACATTCAGAGACAAAACAGCCTCTGCCGTCCATGTGCCATCATCCAGCAGTGACCTGGGGACATCTGCTGGGCAGATCATAAAAGTTGTATGTGAGGAGGGGAAGCAGCAGGGCACCGTCAGCAAACAAAGCTCCACTTTGAGACAGACTTGGCAATGGACCTTCCTACTGGATCCAGTTACAGTTTTGCATTCAGTTTACAGTCCATACCGCCACAAGGATATCACATCTAGGACCAACCCTGGGCTACAGTAACACATCCTGACCTGTCCTGCCTCTCATGCTACCTCAATTTACAGTCAGTAGAGAGGCTGATTTTGGGAGGCAGGTTATGTGACCTGCGTTAATCCTGTAAAGTGCGATGATTCTGTCCTGTTTCTCTGCAATAACTATGAAAAGAGGCTAAATAAGTACGTCTGAGGCAGATACCAATGTTAGGGATGCCTGAAGCCAAATAAGATGAAGCCAAGACTGAGTTGCATTAAAGTGATTATTAACATTACTGATATCAAACACTGTCTAGGCTTTCCCCAGAAAAATGTTCCAGTGTAGGTTACTACTGTTTAACAGAGATTTCTAAACTCAGTGTTTACACAGTGTTTATTTTTATTTTAGCGCTTAAAGAAAATTATATTCCTTTCCAGAAAGTCCTAAAAGAACTATTATCAAGGAAAACACTAAGGGCTATAATTTTTAAATCCCTTATATTCTCTTGCTATTAATGTTTAGTGAAAGCGTGATAGAGCCAATGTTGACTAAGTAATGTGGATTTCTGCTCATCTCTGGCTTATGTCCATATTTAAGTTATATTCTCAATTCAAAAATTCTGTAGAAAATTAATTGCAGGAGCTATATTAGTACTTCCAGCCTGAACAAAGGGGTTGGGTTTTTTTTCCACTTTCAAGAAAGATAGCCTCTGACACTATAATGCCCTAACATAGTCCTCACTTCAGTGGTGAGGACTACTTAAACTTAACTTGTTTTCCATGGTCTGGATCAGGTTGAGAGGCAAGAAGTAAGTACTTCAGGTAAAAGATTTTGACTCTGACTTTGTCAATGAGGACTTACCTCTTGCATCCTCTTCAACCATTCTTCGAGTTTCCTTCCTCTAAGTCATGATCCCAATGCTTAGATATTTTTTTTTTACTTTCTCTTACCAGAGAAAATCCTAGATGGACAAAACATGTTTTTCTTAACATATTTTTCTTAACACAGAGAAAGAAATTTTTCAACTGTTTAGCTAAATTTACATAAATAGAATGTTAACTCTTAATAAATTTAGGGGGTTTTTTTTATCTTTTTTTAATGGTCATGAAATCACACTTAATTTCAGCATTTCCTAAAAGTATCCCAGGACTATTATATTTATCCTCCCCAAAAAATTTCTTTAGAGCAGGGTTATAGTGCAGTAGAAAGCACAGCGCTGCAGCACCTCTGCCTTTATTGCTGCATTTAATGATCATGTCCAACCATGTAGACTTAGTGCCAAGATGGCACTGCCTACATCATACTGTAAAACTCAGAGAGAGTCTCTTGGTCTATAGTTTAATCTCTATAGTTTAAACAGTCCTGTGGGCTACCTTTAAATCTTGTGACCTACTAGTGCACAGTGCTGTCCCCAAGCAGCACATGCAGGCAAGACCTGGCTGCTTGCTGCCATCACCAGTGGCCTTTGGGAGGAAACATCAGTGCGCAGGTGGAATACAGGCCACAGATCTCTTCAGCAGATGCTCCACTGAACAGATGTAAGCAGGACAGCACTTTTACCCCACAGTTTAGACATACTCAGTTAGCTTTTTTTTTTTTTTTAACTTGATCTACTTTAGCTCCTTGACACTTGGATGTTTCTGTACTGCTCTCCAGTGAAGTCCTGGCAGTCTGTGAGCATGATCTGTCCCCTCAGGTCTCTCAGTTGTTCTGGTCTCTTTCCTAAGTTGTCCCTGGTCTCCTTCTCCATGCTGAATTCTGCAAACCCTTTCTCAGTTCTTTCTCATAGTGCTTTAGCCACACTCTATCCTTTACATTAAATGTGTTTTTATCTCTTTGCACATGGCTTGCTTCATCCAGTAAAGGTGATATCTAATGGCTTTCCCTTTAGAATGGCTATATATAAAGAGAACAAGATTATTTCCAATAGAAATGATGTTCACCCTGCAAGTGTTATCCCTCTCCATTCTGAAGCATTTCACTTGCTACTAAGTTTTGTCTTCAATTTCCAAGCCAGACTTTTATCCTCTGAAATAACTTGCTCACTGCACGCTGTCTTTTTCACTGCAGAAAGATGGCTTTTTTGTTGCACCCCTTCAGGTATCTTTACATCTCTTAAACGATACCTGCTATTTTCACTGATATCCTCATTCCATCGGTCTCATTGATTCTTAAAATGTTCTGTTAGATTTGCCTTACATCCTTTAAAACTAAAAAATGGATTTTCTTTCTCAGATGAAAATAATTTCTCTAGAAATATATTTTTAATATAATTTTAATATGTTTTGTATTTATCTGCTTGTCACGTAACATCTTCCTTAGCTCAATAGGTTCACCCTCATGAAAGATGACTGTGGCAGATAGTTCAGTGGACTCTCTTCCTATCAGACATAGCCGTCCTGTCTTGGAAAGTGTTTGGGCCTCTGGCGTGCAGCATACTCTACCTCCAGCAGTAACACTCATCTGCTCTCATGGACTTCTTATGGATGAAGCTGGCAATTGTCATTGATATAGCAGTAGTTATTAATATTGAACCTTATTAATATTTTGGCTCCTCATTGTGCATCAAGTTTAGGCTAGCATGATGATTACAAAGTAAATATTTCAATTCAGGGATATATAACTGACAGAATACAAAAATAAAATGTAAAAATACTTCCCTGCTCCCTGCTGCCTTTCCCCAAGAGGGAATTAGGGTCCTCTTCTTAGGCTGCTGCTTTTTATTGTTTTTTTTTTCCTTGACTTTTCCCTCTTTGTTGACCTAGCCAAAATTTCTTTGTCCACTTTATGACAGAAGAGACTTCAGAGAGTAGATTTTGCTCTTCTTTGTCCTGATTCTTAGGCATAATTATGATCCAGAGCAACCCTCACTCAGTAAACAGAACAGTAAAAGAAAATGAGCCTTATGCTGCTCTCCCACAGGACACATTGCAGTCCAAGGACAGTATGGCCAGATCTTTTCAGTTCCATTTGGGAAGGATTTCAGCAAAAATCAAATAATCACTTACAGAATCAGCATAGTGGGTCAGTGAATTACAGAATTCATTTAGAAACACTGAGTCCTCACTATTGGCCCAACTTTGCTAACGTACTGACAGTTTCTTCTTAAATCTTTCCCATAGCGCAAAAAGGAAGGACTCTGTACAGCAAGTTCCAGGAGCTAAAAAAACAAAACAAAACAAAACAAAATATGGGGCAGCTTTGTGCTATCCATCATGATTCACTTTCTTTAGTTTCTATGAACACTGAGCGCAGCCAACAGAGGCAGCGAACAGACGCAGCAGTTTGCACAACAGTGTCTGGGCTCTGCCTGGGCCTTTTGTGGGCCTTGTTGGAAGTTGTGGAGACCTTCTGGGGACCCCCGAGGAACTAGACGGTGCTTGCTGCTAGCAGGAAGAGAGAGCTGGGCAAGGACTCCTGCAGGGGACCTTGACTTAACTTCTCCTGGGAAGTTCTAGCTAGG